AATAATAAATAAAATAAATAATTAAAAAAAACACAAAGAAAAGAAAAATCACACTTGAGGTGCCAGCAGGTAGTGTGTGGTTAAGGCCAGACAACCACAGTTTGAGTCCCAGACTTGAGTGTTTGAAAATCAGGCTTATACATGTGCGTGGGTACACAAAAATCCCAAGAGGAGAACAGAAGAGGGGATTGCAGAGTAACTTGCCATCACATCCCTTTGGCATGATTTCTCACTTTTCTTCTCTTTCTCTCTTTGGTGAGCACATGTACCCTATGGCAAAAACCTAAAAAAGAAAAGAAAAATCACACTGGGTACGTGTGTGTGCCCACAGTCCTGAGAGGAGAAAGGAGAAGAAGGGATTGTAGGGTGGTCATCCACCATGGTAAGGGGGGGATTTCTCACTTTCTCTGTTTTAGTTTCTGTCTCTATCCAACGAGTGCCCACTCCCTACTTTTAGTGAACTATAAATAAATAAAGCAACAACAGGATTGGATAATTTGTTTTAGTTAAAGTAATATATGATTTTATTATACTGTTCAGAGTTCCAAAACTGTAATGCACTTATTCATTAAATTTATAATTATATTCTAGTCAAAGAATTTAAGTCATATTATTATTCATCATCTCATCCATAGAGAGGTGGAAAGAATGCCATACAATTTGGTTCAAATTCCCTATTGTCCCCACAAGACATGTCAAATTGGGAATATTTTTTTGTTTAGTTTTCCTGTGCCTCAGTTTAATCTGCAGTAGAAAATATCCAGATATTAGTGCTGCTGTACCTAATACAAATAATAATTTTTTTGAGAGGTTTTTGCTATAGGGCACATGCATTAATGAGAAAGACAGAGACAGAGAGACAGAAAGTGAGAAATCACCCCCACCTCCCACCCCAGTCATGATGGCCACGCTGCAATCCCTTCTCCTACAGTCTCCTCTTGAGATATTGGGCATGCACGCACACATGCTTGGTGTGAGTTTAAGCCATCGGATCCAGGACTCGAACCATGGTTGACTACATGGGAGTCCAGCAACATAGCCATTACGCCAACTGCTGGTCCCAAATAATTGTCTTTTTAAGAGCTTATTTCTTTCATAAGTAGATGAGTGAGAGGAGTGCACCCTCGACAGAGTCTTAGAGTCATAGTGTGACCCCTTTCCCCTAGGCTCTCTAGTTAGTCAGAATCTTGGGTGCATGAACAGCTGGCAAGTTTCATGCTGGCTAGGGGTCCAGTCCTGCTGTCAGCCATGTGGGCTTCCAGATCTGCAGTTTAGTATGCTATCACCTGTGCCACTAGGCTGGGACACACAAATATCATCATCACTAAGAGATGTGTTATAAATTGTAAAGTAGTATTTAAATATCAATAATCATTGTGATTTTAGTTTCTTCAGCTACCTGAGGGAAAAGAGGAAATGACTGTCCAATCCTGTTGCCCCATTTTCTTTTCTTTTCTTTTCTTTTCTTTCTTTTTTTTTTTTTTTTTTTTTTTGCTATAGGGCGCGTGCACTCGCCAGACAGACAGAGAGAGACAGAGAGACAGAAAGCGAGAAATCACCCCCCAGGGGGGATGGCCACGCCGCAATCCCTTCTCCTCCATTCTCCTCTCGGGATCTTAGGCACGCACACACACGCGCATGGCTGAGTTTAAGTCACCGGGTCCGGGACTCGAACCGCGATCGACTACGTGGGAGTCCAGCGACATAGCCATTACGCTAACTGCTGGTCCCACTATTGCCCCATTTCCTAAAGGAAAAATGAGAAGATCAGACAGATGCCAGCCAAGGTCTTTTTCAGCTGTAATATTCACAAATAGGATTTTCCCAATGCTTAATTACTTGAATTATGTGAGGTTTTTTTTTTTTTATTTCCAGATCACCAATTTTTCTTTTAGACTGAGGTCTTTCAGTATATTACATGATAATCTTAAAGATTTTTTTAATGGTCCGGGTAGAAAACCGAAAAAAGAAAATTATCCTTTATATTGATAAAGCTTTTACATACTTAACAGTGAATTACAACAAAATATTTTTTATGTAATACAGTATGGTTTAAATCATTACAAACGTGGTATATTTAAGGCACTTCAATTATAAAATTTTAAAACCAGACATCAGTATGACTGCCCTACTAAAGACAAATTTGAGACATCAGTTTTGTTATACTTGTTTTCTAAAGCAAGCAAGCGAGGTTCTTGTTCTGTAAGCAAGCAGGTTTTCGTTATAATTAGAGACTGGTATCATAGTAAAGAGAACATAGTCTAAGATTATAAGTTGACATTTACTCTAAAAGGTTTTTTTCCTTTTTTTTTTTTTTTTTGAAAGATTTTTGCTATAGGGCTATAGGGCACATGCACTTGCCAGAAAGAGAGAGATAGAAAGTGAGAAATCACCCTCCAGGGGGGATGGCCACTCTGCAATCCCTTCTCCTTCATTCTTCTCTTGGGATCTTGGGCACGCACGCAACCACGCCTGGCGTGAGTTTAAGCCACCAGGTCCGGGACTTGAACCATGGTTGACTACATGGGAGTCCAGCCACGTAGCCATTATGCCAACTGCTGGTCCCAACATTTACTCTAAAGTTTTAAACTATGCACTTAAAATGACAGATTATGACAATTCTGTGAAAATGGGAGATTGGTTATTTTAGATTGTAGACTAAGAAACTATTAGACTAAAAATTTCAGTTTGAAGCCCTATAGTTGTTTCTAGAACTGTTTATACTACCTTTTTATTTTGTTTAAGACTGTGTGATGTCTTTCTTTTTTTCCCAAGCTTTGTTGATAGACATATCATTCTAGTTTCATTGACTTTCCCTCTAGTCCCATCCCTACACCTCATGGTTTGTAGATAAAAATTTGCATTCTGCCAGGTTATGGAGACATTAATCTTAAACAGGAAATTTTCTGGACTTTTCTTTTGAAATAATTTTTCTTTTTCAGTACTGATGAATTATAAGGAACTCTCAAGGGTCTCTTTGGAGGCTTACCAAGGACGTCCAGCTGCACAGTAAAGGTGGCTTCTCCTGCTCTATTCTTGGCAACACACACATAAGCCCCTGCATCAGAAGCTCTGACTACTTCAAAGATGAGTGAATGAAAACCCTTTTCAGACACTATCATTTTATGCAAATCATCTGATTGAACTGGCCTTCCATTTAGATACCATGACACATCAGGAGCTGGCAGTCCGCTTACCTAAAAACAGAAACACAAGATGACAGAATTTTTAAGTATAGCAATACTGGAACTCATTTGGCCATTCATGAATTTTTTTTTTTTTTTTGAGAGGTTTTTGCTACAGGGTGTGTATGCTCGCCAGAAAGACAGAGACAGAGCGACAGAAAGCGAGAAATCACCCCCTGGGGGGATGGCCACGCCACAATTCCTTCTCCTCCATTCTCCTCTTGGGATCTTGGGCACGAAATGGTTGACTACATGGGAGTCCAGCGACGTAGCCATTATGCCATCTGCTGGCCCCAGAATTTTTTTTTTAAAGGTTTTTGGTAGAGGGCACATGTGGTGGCTAGAGAGAGACAGAGAAAGGGAAAGTGAGAAATCTCTCCTTAGGGAGAGATTATGGGCACACCATAATCCCTTCTCCATTTTCCTTTTGGGATTTTGGGAATGCATGCAAACATGCCCAGTGTGATTTTCTAGCTGCTGGGTCCAGGACTCAAACTGAAATGGGCTATTTAGGAGTTCAGTGCCTCAGCCACTATGCCATTTGCTGGTCCTGGCCATTTATGAGTTTAAGCAATCTCTGAGTAGGTTTGTGATTGAAAATACAAAACTAGAGCTCAAAAAGGTACTTACAAGTTTCAAAGCTGGAAATGAAAGTTCTTTCACATTGTAACCACAGGCTCTTTAAGATTTCTTTATTACTATAATAGAATATCAATTTATTTTATATTGATTTCTACAAGGAATATGGAAGTCATAAGACTTTTCTGGCTACTTGTAACTACAACTAAAGTCTCAGAGGCACATATTTCAGAGGCTTGCTGATCTAATGAATAACTTTTCTGAAACTGTATTCTTGATCTATAGTATATAAATGGCAGCTTGTTAAATGAAATGCTTTTGGTTTTGTTGTTTTATTTTTGCTATAGGATGCATGCACTTTCCAGAGAGAGAGAATGTGAGAAAGCACCCCCTGGAGGGTGGCCTTGCTGCAATGTCTTGTCCTCCATTCTCCTGTTGAGATTTTAGGCATGTGTACATATGCGCCTGGCATGTTTCTCAAGCTGCTGGGTCCAGGATTCAAATTATGCAGTCTGCTATGTGGGATCCAGCTGCCTTAACCATCACACCACTGGCTGGTCCATTAAATGTCTTTATATAAGCCTTAACAATTATATCCAGTGTTGATCTTAACGCTAACTTCTATTCATAAGGGCTCTGGAAAAATATGAGAAAAAGTTCTCCAAAATGAGAATAATAAATATAGATGCGATTCTAAAGAATTCTAGGCCAAGATAAAGCAGAGTGTCTTAAATTTCTTGATGGACAATGAGAGAGGCATTATACTTTAGAAATCTCATTGCTGGGACTAGCAGATGGCATAATGTTATGTCACTAGACTCCCACATAGTCAACTGCAGTTCAAGTCTCAGACCCAGCAGCTTAAAATTTATGCTGGGCACATGTGTATGCATGCCCAAGATCTTGAGAAGAGAATGGAGAAGAAGGGATTGTGGCATGACCATCCCCTGGTGGGTGATTTTTCGTTTCCTGTCTCTGTCTCTCCAGTGAGTGCTTGTGCCCTGTAACAAATATCTTTCTATCAAAACAAAACAAAAAAAGAAATCTCATTGTTATGGTAGCTTTACTATGAGTTTTTATTAGGTATACCTACTCGTTCTCATGACTTTATGAGGAAAGTATATTTGTTATGCCCATTCTCCAGATGAGAAGATAAATGCACAAAAGATTAAGTGACTAGGCTAAGGTTATATAACTGAAAAGTGGCAGAGTCAGTAGTCAAACCCAGATCAGTTTGGCTCCAGAATTTATTTATTTATTTATTTATTTATTTATTTATTTATATTTTAGTGAGAGTAGAGAGAGGTGGTTTTTGTTGTTCACGATAGGGTGCCTGTAGTTGCCAAAGGGAGACGGGCGGAGGGGGGGGGAGTGAGAAGTCATCCCCCAGTGGGTATGGACACACTGCAGCCTCTTCTCCAGTCTCCTCTTAGAGTTTTGGGCACAGATGCACACGTGCTCAGCATGATTTTCAAGCCGCTGGGCCCAGGACTCTAACCACACAGCTGGTCATGTGGGATCCAGTGCCTTAACCTCCATGCAGCTTGCTGGCTCAGAGATAGGTATTTTTGATAGAGTCTTGCCATGAATACAATCTTCCTGCCCAGCTCCTAGGTAGGTAGGACACAGGCATGTGCCACTGCTCCCTAACTGTTTGGTCTGGATTAATAATAGAACCCCAGCTTCCCTGCAACCTCAGTTACTGTGCAGTGGTGCCCTCTCACTGTGCATGGCAGCTGGGCCCAGAATTTAAGAACCCTTTGTACATACTGCTTTTTAACCTGTGTGACAGACTTTGAAGTAGGAAGAAGATCTTTTTAAAAACTTAGTATCCCATTGTTAATCCCCCCCCCTAATATTTTTGATCTCTTCTCTTACTTTGAAGTCCATTCTGCAGAATCTTCCTTCATCAATTGACATGTTTTCAGGCACTTGAATGAAACGTGGTGGGTAAAATTTCTCTTGGATTGCATCCTGATCGTTCACGTCTCCCCGCGAGGATGATCGACTTCTACAAAAATATTTTAATAGTAACTGTGCATTAATGTTGTCATTGCTCTTCCTTTCACACAAATATAGTTTAGCCATTAAATTTGAAACATTGAAGAGAGCCTTAGGGCTGCTTTTAGCAGTGGCGTATTTTAAAACCATTAGAAATGTTACCAGTTTAGAAACATCTGGTACAAATTGTACAACTTTGTTTTTTTTCAGTGCCTGAAATGATGAAGAAATTAATTTATTAAAGTGCAGAGTTCTCCATAGAGTATTCATATCACTTGCAAAAATTGTGTTAGAATTTTGTTTCCTTTGTCATGGGAAAGTTGTTTAACATGAAAACATATTCCTGGCTTATTTGGTCAAAACATTTAAAAACTTACTCTGATATAGTTCTGATAATTAATATAAAAATTGATTATCACAGATATTAGAAAATTCACATAGTGTTTATTAAAAGGTATGTAGTACATTTGAAATCTTTATAAATATTATATTTTAAAGTTGAAAACAATTTAGGTAGCAAAGCAAATTAAAAAAAATTTTTTTTTACCTTACTTGTGATGTAGGAACTTGAAGTCGTGCATGTTCCGAATTGTGCTGCTTGAAATTAAAACAAAGTGAGAGTGTTAATGTGCAGCTGTAAGCTGGAAGTGAAGCAGAATTAAGTAATTGGGGTTGAAGGAATATTTCTATTTCGGCTGTGTTTGTACAGTAATGATTAGTTCTAAATATTTAGCTTTTAAACATTTAAAGTATCCAGTACTTTAGTAAGAAATTGTCAGAATTAATACGACTGTTCAACAGGTATTATTTGTGAAGTGTAGCTAGACTTGGAATTGATCGTGGTTCATTTTTCAGTAGACTATTTTATGACCAAGTATGATTTGTCATCCTGGTGTATTTGAAATGAGAGCACACAGTACAGGTTGTCCTTTTGCAAAACAGGAATAGACATGAAGTCACTTGTGTTGGCAGTAGGTACAGGGTATTATGCCTCCTGCTCAAAAGTGGTGCTAAGAGCAGTAAACACATGTTAGACTGGAAAATACTTCTCTTTTTAGCTCATGGCACAAAAACCTGATGGACACTGTGGAAGATAAATGTAGAACTATAATAAAGCTGTGAAAAACAGCATTAATTACTTTCTATTTAATTAAAGTATGCTTAAGCAAACTTTTTTAAAAAGAATGATTTATTTAGGGGTCAACTGGTGGTACAGTAGTTAAGGTGCTGGACTCTCATGTGGTCAACCACGATTTGAATCTTGGACCTGGAGGCTTGAAACTCATGCTGGGCGTGTGTGTGCCCAAAATCCTGAGTGGAGAATGGAGGAGAAGGGATTGTGGCATGTTCATCCTCCCTGGGAGATGATTTCTCACTTTCTCTCTCACTGTTTCTGTCTCTTTCTTTCTTTCTCTCTCTCTCTCTGGGGAGTGCACACACCCTAAGGCAAAACCCTCTAAAAAACAAAACAAAAAAGAATAAATTAGATAAACAATACATTGTGCCCTTAGAATCATATTATGTACATTTATAAGATAAACATCATCAGTATAACAGTTATTTGAATAATTTCTACAAATAGAGAGTGTGTACCTTATTTTTGTTGTAATCTCCTGTATCAGCTCTAGAACTCAACACACAGTAGGTGCTCCCTGTGTATTGGGTGAATGAATGAATGTGTGAACTGTTCAGTAGCCAAAAAAATTTAAATTCTATATTCAGTTTCTAGTTCTCATTCTGTTTTTCCCTATTCTATTCTTTTTAGTAAGTCTAGCACATTCAACAAAAATAAAAATCTTGTATTTAGGTTTCTATATTTGGAAGCGTAGAATTCTTGAGTTCCCAGTTTCATCCCTTTGTCCATTTTTTGGTGGACTTTTTGGGAAGGAATGACAGGTAACTATAGAAAAAAGACAGAATAATACTACTTTCAGTGCTTCTCCAACTGTACATTTCTCTTAAGGATTAAGTTCGTGTCTTAAAATCAAGTTGGTCAGGCTCAAGGTTAACCTTAGAGTCATTACTCATAAAGGTTTTTATTTATTTGCATATTTAATAAGTATTTTTGAATACAGGAGCATGACAAAAGGAATTGGATGTTTCTTTAGTACTGTGAGAGAATATACACACATGTGTGTGCACGTGTGTGTGCACGCACAGCACACACACACACACTTTTGTCAGAGGACATGTGTGCTCATAGGGGAGACACACACACACACACACACACACACACACACACACACAGAAAGAAAGAAAGAAGGAAAGTGAGAAAGTACCCTCATGGGTAATGGTGATAACACAATACCTTTTCCTTCTCTTTCATTTCTGTTTTTGGGATTTGGGGCACACATACACATATGCCTGGCGTGTCTTCCAAGCTTCCAGGTGTGAGACTCAAAAAGCTCAATCAACCATGTGGGATCCAGCCACCTTAACCACTACACCACTGGCTGGCCCCATGAGCATATTTTAAAATGCTAAAGAGATTGACAGGTGGTGTGATGGTTAAGGCACTGGACTCCCACATGGTGGACAGTTGTTTGAGTCTGGCAACTTGCTTTCTCACTTTTCCCTTCTCTCTCTCTCTCTGGTCAAATTAAAAAAAAAAGGTAATATAAATAACATGATTCTTCTTTTTAGAGAGTTTTTTTCTATCGAGTGCATGTACTTGCCAGAGAGATGGAAAGAGACAGAGAGACAGAAAGCAAGAAATCACCCCCCAGGAGGATGACCATGCCACAATCCCTTTTCCTCCATTCTTCTTTTGGGATTTTGGGCATGCACGCACATGCACCCAGTGTGAATTTTAAGCTGCTGAGTCTGGGACTCGAACTGTGGTTGACTACATGGAAATCCAGTGACATAATCATTATGCCACTTACTGGTCCCAATAAAATAATTCTTTTAAAAAAATGACGCACAGCTTCTGAGCAAAGTTATCATCATTTTGGTTTAACGTTTTAACTTCTGTCTTGTTAAAGATAAACAACTCGTAAATGCTGTGTTCATGTAGACATTATATGAAGAGTCCTAGGTCTGACCCCTAAATATTCAGACGAAAAGTGCAACATTAGCTTTCTGGTGTTTTGACTTTGTGACATTTTGTATACAGATATTAGAACTACTGGAAAATGTGGTAACATTTAAGTATACACACATACACACTATATATAGAAAATACTATATGTATGCCTTGGGTTGTCAGAAAAGTCATGACATATTTTCCTATGTAAAAATATGTATTTTTTACATCCAATTCCTTTTGTAATGCTCCTGTATTCAAAAGTACTTACTAAATGTCATAACTTTTCCAATAATCCAATATATATGTATGTGTGTGTGTGTGTACGTATACATATGTGTGTTTACGTATGTTTATGTATATGTATAGCATAAAATATGTAATGTGTATATTACATGATTCATACAAGTACATTATACATTTTATATATGTGTATATTTATACACACACACATAGACAAAAACACACACACTGGCCCATGATGGCGTCTTTTGTAAGTATTTGGTAGAGAATGGAAGTGATTACATTTAATTACAAGTGCTATTTATAAGCATTTTAAAAAGCAGACATTTAAAAATCACATAGAATAAAAGTGTCCCATTTAGAAAAACTCATTTTAATTCACCTGTGGTGAATCTTGCACATCACTGTCATTTTGAACTTGAAACACAGCAGCTGCATTCTGTGGGCCTAGCAATCTTCGAGCCATCTTCTCTTCATATGTTAGCCTCTTCAAAGAAATAAGTCATTAAGGAAATAATAAGATTTAATAAAAGTTGTTTGTGCAGATTTACCTTAAACCACCACTCTAAGTCAGAACTTCAAGGACGTATAGTTCTATTAGGTCGTTGGGAAAGTCATGGTGTATTTTTCTGTTTGTCTTCGTAAAAATGCGTCATGACTTTCCCTTACAACCCGATAGCTATTGAATTTTTAATTCATTTTTTTAAAGCCTTTTCTTTCATTCACAGCATTTTTCTTTCATTCTAGTACCACTGTCCGTAAGTATATAGTATATTCACTCATGCTTCCTTTTTGGTCCTAAGAAAGGCAGCCAAATCGCCTAGTAAAGTTCTCTCAAGTAAAGGGAAATTCTTTTCCTTCCTCCTCCTCTGTGTTCTAACCTGTTTTATTTTTTCTTTCCTTTTCTTTTAGGTTTGTGCCATAGGGTACACACGCTTGTTGGAAAGATAGAGAGAGGAAGACAGTGAGAGGGAAAGTGAGAAATCATCCCCCAGGGGTGATGGTCATTCTACAGTCCCTTCTTGGCCATTCTCCTCTTGGATTTTGGGCACACATGCACATACACCTGGTGTGATTTTCAAGCCATTGGGTCTGAGATTCGAACCATGGTTGACCACATGGGAGTCCAATGCCTTAGCTACTATGGCACCTGCTGGCCCCCCTGATTTTTTTTCCCTTCTTTTATTAAGAGAGATTTTTGGTATAGTGTGCATGTATTTGTCAGAGACAGAGAGAGAGACAGACAGACAGAGAGAAAGTGAGAAATCATTTCCCAGGGTGTATGTCCATGTTGCAATCCCCACTCTTTCACTCTCCTCTTGGAATTTTGGGCATGTGTGCAAGCCAATGGATTTGGTACTCAAACTGCAGTTGGCCATGTGGGAGTCTAGCACTTTAACCACTGTGTCACCTGCTGGCTTCGTTGCTATGTTTTAAAATATAGTAATGAATGACCTCAGATTCAGAAATAGCTTGAACTCGGGAACCAGCAGTTAGCGTAATGGCTGTCGCTGGACTCCCACGTAGTTGACTGCGGTGGCTTAAAACTCACGCTGGGCGCGTGTGCGTGCGTGCCCAAGATCCTGAGAGGAGAATGGAGGAGAAAGGATTGCGGCATGACCATCCCCCCTGGGGGGGGTGATTTCTCACTTTCTGTCTCTGTTTCTCTCTGTCTGTCTAGCGAGCGCACACGCGCTATAGCAAATATCTCTCAAAAAAAAAATAGCTTGAACTCAATTAACACTGAATATTTGATGGTACTAACTTTTGAATGAGAATGGTACAGCTAGATGATATGCTAAATGTATTTGGATTAAAGGCACATAATTCTGTTTCAAGAATAAGAGACTAATACAGTGTACACAGTGAGAGCTGGATAATAAAAAAAAATGGCTGTGATTGTCCATCAATATATACCAAATACATGAGGAAGTTGGATTGACAGTATTTTCCATTATTTAGCCATCAGATGTATTTCATGAGCAGATAATGCTTAAAAGAAAATTTCCATTTAATAGTTTAGATGGAATTTTTTTGTGAGATTCTTCCTAGAGGGAGTGTACATTCGCTGGGGAGACAGAGACAGAGACAGAGAGACAGAAAGTGAGAAATCCCCCCTTTGGGGGAGGGTTCACCATGCCTCAATCCCTTCTCCTTCACTCTCCTTTTAGGATCTTAGGCACACACGTACATGCGCCCAGTGTGAGTTTTAAGTTGTTGGGTCTGAACTCGAACCACTACTGTCTATGTGGGAGTCCAGTGATGTAACCATTGCATCGTCTGCTTGTCCCATAGATTGACTTTTTATTTTATTTGCCTCATTCTTCTCCTCCCCCCCTTTTTTTTTAAAGAGTTTTTTTGCCTTAGGGCATGTGCACTTGCCAGAGAGAGACACAGAAAGACCGAGAGAGGGAAAGTAAGAAATCAGCCCCCTTGGGGAGATGCCCATGCTGCAATACCTTCTCTTTCATTCTCCTCTTGTGATCTTGGGCACGCACACACATGTGCCTGGCATGAGATTCAAGCCATCAGATTCGGACTCAAACCATGGTTGACCATGTAGGAGTCCAGCCACGTAACTGCTATGCTATCTACTGGCCCCAGCTTCATTATTTTGCTACTGAAAACCTAGAGGTGATTTCATGCAGGGTAATATGGAATAGGACCCAAATATTACTTCTTTAGATAATTTTTTCCTTGCTGATTATATGAATATAGATCTGTGAGACAAAAAGAACTCTTAATGAAATTAAATTTTATGGTTTAATTGGACTTTTGTACCAAACAGACATCTTGCTCACTTGATTTCCATTATGAAGAAGGGTATCCTTGCATTTCAGCTTTCTCTCCAAATCTTGAATCAGTGCTTCTTTTGATCCTTGTATTTCATGGTCAGGAGTCCTTGGTATAGGCCTAGCATTTGCAGTTTGGGATAGCTTAACATTTACAGGTTGGCCAACTGAGGGTTGTTGATAGCTTTGAAAAAGAAAGATAGATTTCTTTTAAAAAGGTATTTAAGTAAAATGTGTTATCTAAAATAGAGTTAGCCTCACATTTAGATATCACTTATACCACTTGTATTATTAAAAGCACAAATTGTCCCAATAATAGTCAAGGAAGGTTTTATAGGAATGGTTACTAACGTTTTTTTTTTTTTTTTTCCCTTTGGCAAATGAAAATGAAGTTAGAAGGAGAGGTTTCCTAAAGAATGTGCGAGTAACTCTAGTTAATGGAAGCTTTAGAGCTCTTTCAATTTCTTTTTTCCTTTTTAAAGAATTATTTAACTTCACTTATTTATTTATTCATTTGTTTATTTTAATTTGACCAGAGAGGGACGGAGGGCAAGGGCGAGAGAGAGAAAGTGAGAAAGCAAACCGCCAGGTCCGGGACTTGAACCACGGTCAGCCATGTGGGAATCCAGCACCATGAACCACCATGCCACCTGCCAGCTCTCGATTTCTTTTTTAAAGAATTATTTAAGAATTTTTAAAAGAATGATTTAATTTAATAATAATTATTTAATTACTTAATTTAATAATGATGAATAAAATTAAATAATTCTTTTGCAAATTATTTTTCTCTTTTTAAAAGAATCATTTAATTTTATTTGTTAATATTAATTTGCTATAGGGCATGTGCACTCACCAGAAAGAGAGAGAGAAGGAGAGTGAGAGTGAGAACGCTAACTGCCAGGTCCAGGACTTGAATCACGGCCCATCGTGCGGCAGTCCAGCACCTTACCACCATGCCACCTGCTGGCCCTGAGCTCTTTCAATCTTACAGCTGAATTTCTTAAATTTGATTAATGAGTAGATATTAAGCAGTAGTGGTGGAGCTGGCTTATATGGGCTCAAGAGAATTTATTTTCAGCATTTGTTCCCCAGCTATGCATAATCTCGTAGTTTTAAATTGGTAGTGGTGGAAGAGTTTATACCAGGGAGATTGAAAAATAACACAAATCATGGTTCTTTCCTTCAGCACTGACTACTAGCACACAATTGGTAGTGTATATTCTGTCGTTTTAAATGGACTCGGTAGTTTACAATCTCTGGCTTTCCTATTAATTCGTAATTCCTATTGATTTTATATTCTAGAAAATCCAAGATAGTGGGGTTAATAATGCGTGTGGAGGTTAAAGTGCTGGATCCCACATGGCTGGCTGCGTGGTTTGACTCCCAGATCCAGAGATTTGAAAATCACACTGAGCATATATGCGTGCATGACCAAAATCCTGTGAGGAGACTAGAGAAGAAGAGATTGCAGCATGGCTATTCTCCTCTTGAGGATGACTCACTTTTCCTCTTTCTCTCTCTCTGGTGAGTGCACATACCCTATAGCAAAACCTAAAAAACAAGAAGAAAGAAAGAAAGAAAGAAAGAAAGAAAATTCAAGTATAACATTGTATAACAAATAACTGGTAAAGTAATGACAGTTTCTTTAACATTGTTGAAGTGATTTTTTGATAAAGAAAGTGATGATCAGAGGAAAAAGGAAAAGGAAATATAAATTTAAAAAAGTTCCCCCCCCCCAAAAAAAGCTAATTTGAATAGCATTTTAAGAATTTGGTTAAGTTCTTATTTCTAATTTTGAGTCTAAATTTTTTGTTTCTAAGGTGTTTTTGCCCATCCCAAAGTTCCCCTTGTGGATTCTAGGACAGAGACGGGATTTAGGGAGTCATATATTTTTAGATCTGTTAGGTAGCTCACACTTTTCACAGTACTTTGTTCAGTTTTTACCTAGTTTATTCACTTGAGTCCCGCTTGCTTATATCAACCTGTTAATGTGGGAAAACTGACCACTGCTCTCAGTGAAGATATTACTATTATCATAATTCACATTCTCTAGTTTTCAAGATGAGACAACCTTGAGCTGTTCTCTGATGTGTCCAAATAGTTTCAAAGATTATTAAAAGGACTTAAGAGCTAGGAGGAAATGCATCTTCTCCAAGTAGAACCAGAGCTTAAACATTTGCTAGCTTTGCGGACTTGGTTAGTAATCACTACTAGATTATAAACATATGAAGAAAAAAAAGAGATATCTTATTATCATTATATCATTTCTGTCCACTAATAAAAAAAGCATGGGTACGTAGGAGATACCATTAGTTGAATGTATGAATGTTTCTCATTGTATTCAGGATACTCTATTGAAAGTTGATGATATAGTTTCCCCTTCTTACATTTCATATAATCAGTTTTTCATAGTTGTCTATGCTAATCCTTAGCTAAAGTTTGATTCATGCAGTTAAGTAAATAGCCATTCTGAGTGTCTAAATAAATAGTGAGTTTTTGTTTGTTTGTTTGTTTGTTTGATTTTGGTTTTTGATACTGAAGTTCTAGGCCAAAGTGGCTAACTCCCTTGGTCTTCTAGATCTCGTATTTCTCTAGCTATATGTAATTATAATCACCTATTTATTAAATGCTAGTTTGTTATCTTTGGAAAAATAACACATTTGTTGCACTAAATAATTCTGCTTTTAGGCTGTCATAATATACCTGAGATATTATTATTATTATTTCTTCTTTAAGAGAGATTTTTTCTATAGGGTGCATGTACTCACTGGAGAGAGAGAGAGACAGGAAGAGAAAAATTACTCCCCCAGGGGGTGGCCATGCTGCAATCCCTTCTTTTCTCAGGATTTTGGGCATGCATGCAGCATATGTGCCCGGCATGAGTTTCAAGCTGCTGGGTCCGGACCTCAAACTGTAGTTGACTACATGGGAATCCAGCGATGCAACCATTATACCATCTGCTGGTCCCACATCTGAGAAATTCTGAAGGTATCTGAAAAATCTTAAAAGGTTTATCAGAACAAAGTCTGAGAGTCACTGATGTATATGTAATGTCAGTCACTTTACTTACTGAATATTCCCATTATTTCCAGTTTAGAAGGCTTAAATATGAGGACTCAATACCTGCTTCTCCTTATAAACTAATATTATATTTGCAGTGCTTTATAGGTACTATCCTATCCTATACTTTTTTCTATCATTAATCATCTAAATCTTTAATTTTATTAAAGATTTGAACACTGAATTATTGGTCAGGTTAGGTACTTGCTGAGTGTTATATAACAAGCTTTTTGGAAGGAATAATTAGAATTAAAGAGTTCACCTCAGTTTTCAGACTATGGTTTAATTAACTGGATAAAGCATTTGCTTAAGGAATTCCTATCCATGAAAAGCTAAATAAAGCTTTCAGACTTCGTTAAGTCAGTATCCAAGGGATTATTTTAGAAGACAGAGCAAACTTGAACCCATAATAACAAGGAGGGAGTTGTATACAAATGTTCAAAGGGTTAGGGCTTTTCACCCTGTACAGCTAGACACAGAGTGGATATCAAGTAGCTATGGGAAGATTAAAAGAGTTATCTATGGCTGCTGAAAATGGAATAGTTAAAGCTGAATCTTTGATCTCTGGTTTGGGGACCTCCTAGACTTTATTTCTTACTCTTTTTGCCTTTCTTCCTCTTACGTCTGTGCACAGAGCTAGGTACATGTTTGAGTATTAGTGAATATTTGGTAGCTTTCTTTTCTAGGAAAGAATTTAGAATAGGATTGTACTAAGAAAAATACTGTAGTCAGAAAAGTATCTTTTTCTTTATATATTATTATTATTTGTTATTGCTAGAGAGCACATGTGCTTGACAAAGAGAAAGAGAAGAAAACAGCCTTAGTTGGGTATGGTCATGCTGCAGTCCTTTTTCTCCCATTGCTTCTTCACAACAGGATTTGGGCATGCATCCATATGCACTGGGCATATTTTTCAAGCCGCTGTGGCTGAGATTTGAACGTGGCCAGCTGTGTGAGACCCATCTGCCTCCACTGCTGAGTTACAGAGCCAATCCAAGTTTATTTAGATTTAAAATGCTCATATAGGAAATTTGGGAAGCTAGATGGAAAATAACCACCAACGTTAATGTTGACAAGAAAGATATACAATGTATAATATAGATATAATGAAAATTTAGGAAGGAAGGAAGAAAGAGGGCTCTTAATTCTTAAAGGTGTCCTTTTAAAATAGTAATACCACTATTGCAGGTCACAAATAGTTATATCAGCCATTTCAAATGACTCAGCCTCATTTCCTTTTTTTAATTTAAATAAAAAAAATTTTTTTTAGGTTTTTGCCATAGGGCACATGCACTCACCAGAGAGATTCAGAGAGAGAGAAAGAGAGAGAGAGAGAGAGGGAGGAAGGGAAGGGGGGAGAAGAGTGGTGGGTGGGAGGAGGGAAGGAGGGAGGGAGGGAGGGAAAGTGAGAAATCACTCCCCAGGGGGAGGGGGGTATATAGTCTCCTCCCTTCTCCTCTTGGGACTTTAGGCATTTGCGCGCGTGCGCACACGCTCACATACACACACACACACACACACACACACACACACACACACACACAGATGGCATGAATTTCAAGCTGCCAGGTCTGGGGACTTGTACTGTGGTGGGTCATGGGTCACGTGGGAGTCCAGTACCTTAGCCACCATACCACCTCCTGTCCCCTCAGCCTCATTTTATAGGATTCTAACAGATGTTTTTAGCTTTACTGATTTTTATTTTTAAAAATATTGCAAAAGTTTCCTTGCAAGTTGAGTAACTGTCATCAGTTTTGTGAGGTTTCCAGAGTAGTTATCAATGATATGAATTTCTAGAAAAAATTAGCTTCTAGAAGTCTGAGAGAAATTAACAAGAATTTCAGTGAATGTATCAATAAGCCTGCAACAAAACATTCCATCAGACAATTTTTGAGATGCTTCTGATTTAATTGTCTGATATTCTAGCCAGCCAAGGAATAGGAAAACTGATAGCCCTGAGTTTGCATAAGCACAAAGTATTCAGTTCATGTTTAAAAAAAGCACAAGCACTATGTCCTTCTTCATATCAGGTTCTCCTGGGACAGTCTTAGGGGTGTGGAAATAGTACCTGCTTGCATAAGGCTTCAGGTATTCTTCCCTGTATTTAGATTAAACTCTACCAGTTTGAACAAGGCATGGTTTAAATTATCAAAGGAAATCTTAAGGTTGTAAGCTTTTATTTAGTCAAGCTGTCTTCTTAACATAGTAAGGAAAATTTATACACTTGAGTGTCTGAATTCCAGATTTAAAAAAATTTGCTAATTTAAAATTTTTCTAGTTAAGTGGATATTCAGGATTAGAGGGGGAAAACGGGTAGGAAGAAAAGACAGACTGAGAAGAAACTTAATAGCTTCTTATGTGAGAGGAAATCCTATCTGAAGAAGAGTAGACAGGTGTTCATCTCAGCTGAGCCCAGAACCAGAGGAATTAAATTTACAGCATTAAGAACTTAGCTTGGAATTAGAGGAAAAGTTCACATTCTTGGGATGTTATAAATTTTTTTTAAGATGGAAAATAATAGGAAACAATGAAAAGATATTGAATGATGAAGTGGGGAGTTTAATTTCTCTGTATTGACTGACATGCATGGCATTCCCTTTTCAAAAAGCAATGAATGTAATACTCTGTAACGTATTCAAGTCAATTAATATAAACAAGACTATGATGATAATAAGTAAAATATTAAGCACTTAAAAAGAAAATAATAGGTAAGTAATTGCATGGGGTAAGAGGTAATTAGGGTTTAGCTTAGTCTGGACTCTGGAGAATGGGTTGGATGACTTCTTGCCAGTACCCTGGTTCAGTGTGTTCTAGGAGAGTTATGGAAAGAGACTGTGAGGTCACATAACCTTTTAGATAGTAAGAAGTGAACTGCAGCTTACCCCCTAAACTCCTAAAATATAAGCTCACTGTCCATGCAATATATAAAAATTCACTTACTTGGAGTCCACAGTGGAAGGGATTTTACTGGTACTGTAATCAGGCTGTGATGGTAATATGGAGCTGAGAAAGCTGGCTGGGGACTGGTTATGGGTGGTTGTAGCCCTTTGGCTTGGGTTGGAGCCAGCAAGCTGCTGCGGAGAAGCAGGGAAGGCAGAGGAAGACATGGTGATGTGAGAGCTCACTGTTGAGGAGGCAGAAAATCTTTGCTCTGTGCACTGGCGAGGCTGAATGAGAATGGAAGACTGTTTGGTCTGGCTACAGAAGCTGGAAGTTTCCGGTCCAGGAGGCTGCAGTCTGGAGCCACATGGGTTTTGGGACTGGATGAAGTGCTTTGGACGTTCGTAGTTAAACATGCTTAGCTGGTGTATGGAAGATGAAGGCAAGTTATTACTGTAATGATTTGTTACTGAATGGGTGGAGTCTTGACTCTGGGGCTGCAAGCTTGGAATTATGGAAGGCTGCAAGGAATCAGAAGCAACCTTGATTTGCCCCTGCTTGTTGAGATCCTGAGAGTACTGTATTCCTGGCTTTGGTAGAGTGGGCTTCTCATGAAGAGTGTTGTTCCTTCAAAAGGAGAAAATAATGAAGTTGTAATAATTGCTTAAACAACAACACTGCTATTTGACATTTTAGGATCTTATGTACTTTTTCTTTTGAACTTGTGTGCTTTTAAGGTTGTCTTAAGGTAGAACTTTCCTGGCTTCTAGATTTCTCCACCCTTTATCTCTGTCTTCACACAAATGACTTTCCACCTGAGAATAAGGATTTATTAGTGTCTGTTTGCCTCTAGATAAAAGCATGCCCAGCAGCTTCAAGGTGAAGGAGCACAAAGTTGAGTTTTCTAAATGATTATTTATGAAAAGATGTTCTGTGATGATGTTCAGTGTGATCATTTTATGGTCTTATGATTAGTTTTAGCCCAAAGGCTGAAATTTCATTAACCACAGAGATTAATGATTTAAATGAATAGCAATTAAATATTGCCTATATAACATGTCAGTTTCCATTCAATCTGAATTATTTTTACTGCTCTTCAAAACAGACTAATAGCCCTCTGATATACCAGTTAATATCTTGGTGATCGCTGATGAATAACATCTTGAAAAAACAAGAAAAGCAATATATTGTGTTTGTATAGAACATTACTTTAATGTCCATATTTACTCCTAATCTTTCTGAATTTCACGTAGTAGGGTAAATAGCTACAATTCATTGTTGCCAACTTTGAGTAGACTTCTTTTTTTTTTTTTTTTACCTTACAGGTCACTGCTTCCAAAGCCATTTAAAAAGGTTTCCTGTTATTTCTAGACTATTCTTCCTAGTTTTTGGTCTTGATGTTGTCTTAATTATTTAGAGTTTTTTTCCATTTATTATTTTAACTTACTTAGTATGTACTTTATACTAATTTTGAGATTCTCTTAGCTCCTTTTTGGCTTTTTTTTTTCAAACAGAAAACATAAAAGTAATAAGGCACTTATGAAATTAGTCTATACCTTACCAAGTAAAGATGGTGACATTTCTCTTGCTTAGTTCTGCATTGATCCTCCTGCCTTCCTATAGTAGATTCTTATTTTTCCTTAGATGAATTGTTAGCCACTAAAATAAAACTTGAAGGATTATGTTTACCTCTGACTTTCTATTTGTATGATAAATTTAAGCAGGACTATAAACATTACACACAAAGACCAGTCTATCAATTGTATAACGTCGGTCCTATTTTTGTTCAAAACATTAGATAATTTAATTCATAATGCAGTTAATTTTTTCATGAACTATAAACCAACACTGAGATAATGATAAATCAAACTTAACTGAAAAATTGACCAAATTTTTATCATCATTGAAATGAAGTCTTATAATTTTTTTAAAGAATTATTTTATTTATTTTAATTTGACCAGATGGGGACAGAGAAGGAGAGGGAGAGAGAGAGAGAAAGAGCGAGCAAGCAAGCCGCCAGGTCTGAGACTCGAACCACAGTTAGTCATGTGGAATTCCAGTGCTCCTAACCACCATGCTACCTGCTGGCCTCAAAGTCTTATCATTATTGAAGTTACCACCTTGAAGAACGTTTTGTTAACTTAATTTTTTCAGACCAAACAACTCTATTCTAAGGTTCTATGCATACTTTAGAGTTATATTAAAACTAGCAGTTTTAGAAATGGACAAAAATGCAACTAAATAGCCAAGAGAAAAACTTTTAAAAAAGAACACTTAAAAGTTATATATTCCTGGGGCTGGCAGGTGGCGTGGTGGTTAAGGGTGCTGGACTTCCACATGGCTGACAGCAGTTCAAGTCCTGGACCTGGTGGCTTGCTTTCTCTCTCGCTCTCTCTGTCACTCTCTGGTCAAAGTAAAATAAATGAATGAATAAATAAATAAAGTTAAATAAATAATTATTTTAAAAGAGTTATATATTCCTTAACTTCAGGTTTATGAACACAAATACATTCAACCTGAGTGTATTTTTAAAATGAATTAAATTATTGGGGAAAACATCCAGAAGGAGGCTTTAATTAGATCTTCTTAAAAAAAACACTATTTCAGGGCAAGTAGGTTTAAAGTTATGAATTTGTTCATCCATCATAGAATTAAATCCAGAGTTTAATTCCTAAATTCCTTTCTGAGCAGGCAAGTTACTCATACTCATTTAAAAGAGCAAAGGATGAACTTTTTAAGAAATAACCATCAGATATTTTCCCAAAAGAGTTCTCTATTTTTCTTTGTGTATATATTTAAAATGTCAATTGTATTGTACATTTTCATACTGGCCTGCACAGTTAATAATTACTGATAACTTTTAAAGCACAAGTTAAAATATATTTCTTGAAAAGTTTTATTTAATCCATGTCTTAACCAAATTTTATATAGATATTTACATTGGTAACTCTAAAAGGCTTTTTCTTCATGTTTGTAGTACTGTCCAGTCCATTTCAATCATTGATTCTGTTACATGATGATATTATTTTGTTCCAAATAATATTAAAGAATTTCAAAGATTTTATAAATAAAATACTATTAAGTCATCTATTTAAAAAAACTTAACCTTTTTCCCCTATCTCTAATACAACACAGACTTGCACTAAAGACTAATAGAGGGCATTTTGGGGCCATAAGATATCATCACAATTAGAGTCATACCAAATGTTTTTTTTCAAGGAAAAATGTTGATTTAAAAATAATAACATACTAATTCTTCTTTCTATTCTTCATATAATGCCTTCCTATATCACCAGAATGAATATTTTACTTTCTCTTAAATGTTTGTATAATATCTTTATGATATTGTAGCTTTCAAACTTTTCATCTGAAGAGCACCTTTGTACACACTCCTCTGATTTGGACAAAAAACAAAAACAAAACCCAAAACTGTAGTGGGAAGAAAGAAGGGACTTACCCGTAGTTCCAGAGGGTGCCAGCTGGGTTTAACCCACTATTGAAGGGAAGGAAGAGACATCCTCTTCCCTCACAGACTAATCTAGTGGCTCTGTGCTTAGTATTATAGCACCACTGACTTTCATCAGCTGCCAAGCAGTGACATCTGATGTGCTTGCCTGTCCATCTACCTATGCTGGCATGTCAAAGTAAGAGTCCACAATCTAAACAATATCTCAGATGTCTTAGTGATATTTAAGGGGTAGTATTACATGAGCTTCTCTTGCAGGCCTCTTTATTTTACATGTGAATTTTACTATGAGCTTTAGCAAGCTCAAGTAGGAGGAGAGTAGCAAATTTGGAAATGAGAAAAAATATCTAAAGAAAATTCACTTTCTTTATTGTGGTAGTGGCTTTGAATCTTTCCTGTTGGAGAGAGAGACTGAAAGGGAATAACTAGTATTCCGGACTGGAGTTATTCTAATAATTCTTCTCCAGAAATAAGATCAGAAATGGATGGATGCCAAATTAATTTGTATTACATAAATTGTCACTTGAAGCCTTTTTTCTCCTCTCCTCTAATGAGAGAAGGGAGTGGAGATGGTTCAAGCAGTTTGCTCTGAGAGGGACAGTGGTTGTCACTTGGAAGATAGGGAAATAGAAAGCATGGTTTGATTTCCTTAGCAAGTTTTTTTAATCTGTATGGTGTATGCTTCTTTGACCTAGTACTTTTATTTTTTTTTAATTTAATTTTATCAATTGTTATTATTACTAAATTTGACCAGCGAGAGAGAGAAGGTGACACAGAGAGAAGAAAAGTGAGAAAGCAAGCCATCAGGTCCAGGGCTCTAAACATGATCTTCCTCGTAGGAGTCCAGCACCTTCACCACCACATCTGCCAGCCCCCCTAGTACTATTATCCTAAAAGCTGCTTTCAACACAAAAGAAACAACTGAATAAATAAGCAGTCTACACAATTAGGACTATTAGTGCTCTTTCTTTCATCTCCCTTTCCTAACAACTGTACAGTTTCTCTTTTTGGCCGTGGAGACCATCTTAGTATTTAGGTTTCATTTTCG